TGCTGGGATTACAGGCTTGAGCCACTTCGCTGGGCAGCATCTAAATCTTTCATGTGAATATGTTCACATATGGGCAAGCATTCAAGTAAGACCCCAAAGAGAATGTTACGTTATAAAATTTTTCTTTTTTTCCCCCCCCCAAGATGGAGTCTTGCTCTGTCTTCAGGGCTGGAGTGCAGTGGCATGATCTTGGATCACTGCAACCTCCGCCTCCAGAGTTCAAGCAATTCTCCTGCCTCAGCCTCCTCAGTAGCTAAGACTATAGGCACGTGCCACCAAGCCCAGCTGATTTTTGTATTTTTAGTAGAGACAGGGTTTCACCATGTTGGCCAGGCTGGTCTCACTCCTGAGCTCAAGTGATCCGCCCACGTTGGCCTCCCAAAGTGCTAGGATTACAGGCATGGGCCACTGTGCCTGGCCCAAAAATTTTTTTCAAAAAAGGCTTCGTAGTCAAACCAAGCAGTTTGGCCACAGTCCCTTAATCTTTAAGACAAAAATATTTTCTTTTTATTCATCTTCAGGTTTCCAGACAGATTACACAAGAAAGCTCAGGCTGAGAGGAAACTGTTTCAAGGACAGTGTGGGTTAAGTGGCTGCCCTGCTTTTACATGCTAATGGTCTACACCTGGTAAACATGTCGCTCCCTTTTGAGACTTCCTATGACAGGAAAACTGAAAAGTGGCTCTATCTGTGCTGTGTGACAGGCACAGGGCCACCACTGCTGCAGCAAGCCTCCTCCTCCCCGAGGCCCCTGCTGCACCGGGGCGTCACCTCACTCCGCTTTTCCACGCACAGCGAGGGGCTCACCCCATGGGCGCTAAGATCAGGTGCGGCAGCTCACTTATTCTAGGCTTCACACCTGAAGTTTAGGTCTGTCTGATCCTTTCCTTCATGGAGAGTGGGAGCTGAGATTTTACGATGAAAACCAAATAAAGACAAGCATCATTTGTCAATTTGCAGGTGTACTATTTAAAGGTTAAATATTTATTACATACAAGTTTCAAATATCACTCAGTTATACAAACGGCTAGTTCTACATATTGATTCTCAATGTTCTTCCTAAGGGAGAGTTTGGCCACATTTGCCAACTCCCCTGTGGCAGCTGGCCTCTGCAGTGAGGGGCAGCTAGGGAGCCCAGGGCAACTATTCACCAAGGTGCCAGGGCCTGGCTCCCCATCAGAACCAGACTCACAGTGAGTGGCACACTGAAGCGACATCTCCGCAGCAGATCCCAGGCTCTGCCCGCTGCTCACTCCCCACCTGGCAGCTGGAGCTCAGCAGGCTGGTCCCAGGCCCACCCGACACTCACTCACCTGCCGCTTGTTCTTCTGCCAGGTGCTCCAGGGGTAGTCGGATGGAGTCGTGTTCCACAGAGGAAGTGATCAAATGAGGCTTGGCCCCCTCTACTGGGCTGTGGTGCACACCCGTGTCTCCCTTTGAGGTCTGGTTTACGTGGAAATGTTTCACCACAGATTGGATTACTAAATTATTTGACTGCAGAGATACAGCAAAAAAAGCATTTACAGAAACTGTCTTGAGGTAAGGGTTGGAATAACAATTTCTGTCACCTAATTTCTTTTGTGGCTAACATCAAAAAAGCTTCAAAGAAATCCAACTTCCTGAACTGTACCTTTTGAAAGATTTGGGGTTTTCCAACATTTAAAAACTTGAGATTCATTTCCAGTCAATCATGTCTGTTTCATTGTTAAGCAATATTATTGATTTTTTTTTTTTTTGAGACTGAGTTTCGCTCTTGTTACCCAGGCTGGAGTGCAATGGCACGATCTCGGCTTACCGCAACCTCCGCCTCCAGGGTTCAGGCAATTCTCCTGCCTCAGCCTCCTGAGTAGCTGGGACTACAGGCACGCGCCATCATGCCCAGCTAATTTTTTGTAGTTTTAGTAGAGACGGGGTTTCACCATGTTGACCAGGATGGTCTTGATCTCTTGATCTCGTGATCCACCCGCTTCGGCCTCCCAAAGTGCTGGGATTACAGGCTTGAGCCACCGCGCCCGGCCTTGTTATTGGTTTTTAATAATTTATATAAATGTGTTGGTATAAGTGCAGTTTTGTTACATGCATAGAATATTATGAATCTGAGGCCGGGCGCAGGGGCTCACACCTGTAATCCCAGCACTCTGGGAGGCTAAGGCGGGTGGACCATGAGGTCAGGAGTTGGAGACCAGCCTGGCCAACATGGTGAAACCTCATCTGTACTAAAAATACAAAAATTAGCTGGGCATGGTGGCGTGTGCCTGTAGTCCCAGTTACTCGGGAGGCTGAGGCAGAGAACCGCTTGAACCCAGGAGGCGGAGGTTGTGGGGAGGCAGAGGTTGTGGGGAGGCAGAGGTTGTGGGGAGCCGAAATGGCGCCACTGCACTCCAGCCGGGGCAACAGAGCAAGACTCTGTCTCAAAAACAAACAAAAAAGCACATTATGAATTTTTAAATTTTATAAACTGCCATAAAGAGTATTTTGTGCAGCCACCCACTATGGGTGGGAGTGTAAACTGGCACAACCTCTACCGGGGGCCACTTGGCACATCCACCAAGTGAGGCCTGTGACCCAGCAATTCTAGTTCTTGGACTTTTTCCCAAAGCTGCGCCCACAGTGAAGCAAAATGGTGTGTCTAATGGGTATTTATTAATACTAAGTGCAGCACTGTTTGTTACAGCAAAACCTTGAAAAGCCCTTAAACATCTATCAATTAGGGATGAAAAGGAATGATTCCAGGGCAAAAATGATGGGGAAACCTTCTTATGGAAATAACAAATTACATATTACATTACAAAAATCCTATCAGCTACCTGAAGGATACATAAGAATTATCTCACGCTAACATGCAGTACAGCAAGACCACACACTACTCTTTTCTTTCTGAGACAGGGTCTCACTCTCTTGCCCAGGATGGAGTGCGGCAGTGTGATCACAGCTCACTGCAGCCTTGCATTCCTGGGCTCAAATGATCCTCCCACCTCAGCTTCCCTAGTGGCTGGGACTACAGGTGTCACCACCACACCCAGCTCATTTTTTTTTTCTTTGTAGAGATGAGGTCTCCCTATGTTGCCGAGGCAGGTCTCAAACTCCTGGGCTCAACCAACCCTCTTACCTTGGCCTCCCAAAGTACTGGGATTACAGGCATGAGCCACCATACCTGGCCTACTCTTTCTTTAAATGAAAATGTAGCAGAAGGGAAGCACTTTCTGTGTTTTATTACAACTCACAGCTGAAAGAACGTAAGCGTGTTTAGGAGCTTCACCTCAGTGCCCCCGGAAGTGAAGATGATGTCTTGAGGTTTCCCACCAATCATCTTCGCAAGGCTATCCCGAGCTGCTTTTATAGTATCTTTGGCCTTTCTTCCTTGAAGGACCGAAAAGAAAATTCATTAGCATTGCTTCACCAAGCCCAATCAACACACCTGAAAGGACAGCCTCATACGAAGGAGTGAGAGGTCTGCGTGGGCTGTTCGAACACAAAACCTGCCCCCTTAATGTGAGCACAGCAAAATGCCACAACCTAGACGCAACCCAGCAAAGGGGCGGCTGTGACAGAGCAGTGAACCAGTGACCAACTCTGTGAGACCCACAAACAAGTACAGGAGGCTGGCTAAGACCCCCATGTCCCCCAAGATGCGGCTTCCTTCTTACCGGATGCTAGAGGGAGGGAAGCTGTGGCCATCTGCCTTGCTTCCCAGTCATCACGACAGAGAATGAAAGGATGGAATGAGTTGCAAACAATAAAAATCAGCAGAAGCAGAACTCACGAATCCTCAAAGCAAAGTCCAACGCCATATCTCATTCCGCATGTTGCCCAAGGCACACCTATATCTCAGGGGCACACCTGCTTTCACACAGGGCCATGCATCTGGCCATCACCCAGTTTCACTGGCTACAAGGAAAACACAGGGGCCAAGCTTGATGGGGCAAAGAAAGACAGACCCTGGCATGGGAATTCCAAAAGTTTCAGTGGCCATTATTGGTGTACATGCCAGGGGTCCTCAAACTTTTCTGACCATTCAGTC